TATACTCTAAGCATATTCACTACTATGCTTAAGTAAATCAAAAAATGACTTTTGATGGGATTTAAATATAAAAAAAAGTGCCTATAAATAAAAGTGTATCTCTTTTGGTTTACTTAAGAAAACCTTATAAAAAGAGTGGGTAGTAGTGAATATGCTTAAAATATGCTTTGATATTGTAGGATATTCTACTATTTATTGGTTGTTATTCATTTAAATTAAAACTTCCTTAAACACTTCTTAGTATATTTTAATTTATTCTACCATCTAATCCATATCCAGCGATCATGGCCATCCATAACACCACATTCCATTCCGGCACCCTTTCGAAGATGGACTTTGCGTTCTGGAGCTGCCGGATTTGTGTGTGGGCGACAGTCATGATCGTTCAAGATATCTCATTTCGCTCTAGCATGGTGTGTCGGCTTGAATGAGGTGCCGATGCTTCGTGTAGACGTCAAGCATACAATGCCACGTCACAATGTCGTGGTCAAGCATTCTTTCACAAATGTCACGAAATTCCTGGAGATGCCCTCTCTGTCCGTACGCTTGGATCATTGAATTCCAGGGGAAATGTTCCTACTAGGTTGCTTTTGGCAAATGCCCGCATTGGGCATGGATAGCCGTCCATGAAACTCCGTTCTCTTCTGGCATTGCATCATTTTGGGCATAAGCAGCGATCATATTGTCTCAAGAGAAGCGATTCCTCGCAGAGCCCATGCGATCGAAAATCTCTCTTGCTTCTTGCAAGCTCCGGATTGCCAAATTCGAGACAGCTGCTCGCTGCACAGTCGCCACGCCGCCGAACTTGACCGTAAATCTCTTTTCCCCGCCGCGAACTTCCTAGTGTCACAAGCTGAATTCAGTGAAATGGTCGTTGCGTAGGAAATGCAGCGAAACATCAAGCAGGAGGAGCAGGAGTCCTGGAGAACTGCTAAAGTAGACACGGCCAGATTTTCAAAGCGCAGGCCGAGAACAACCAACACTCGTCCACTTAGCAACAAGAAGATCTACTCGGCTTTTGGTCCTCTAGACTGCCAAGAGCAGCCCCGCATTCTCCACGACGGGCTCCAAGACCACCAAGAGCAACGGTTTGAACAGAGGCCGACAAGCTTAGGGGCTAGTCGGATCCGCCACAGCAAGCATCGTGACAACAACACTTTTCTTGCGAATCTCCTCATACAAATGTATGGGACGTGCGGGAGATTGCGTGAAGCTCGCCTGGTTTTCGATCAGATCAAGCAGCTTAATCTATTCTCTCGCGACATCCTCCTCGCGGCATACGCACAGAATGGCGACATCCAGTCCGCTCGCCAGATCTTCGACTCCATGCAAGGAAAGAGAACTCGATGATCACGACGTATGCCCAGCACAGGCAAATCGCCGACGCGAGGAAGCTACCAAGAATGACGACGATGATCACTGGATTGCAGAGAGGCGTGAGGGATCTTCCAATGGATGCCTCCGAAGAATTCCGTGACATGGAACGCGATGATCCAGGCCTATGCCCAAAACGGGCACTAAGAGATTTTCGATGCCACGCCGCTAGGTTCTCTCGCCACGTGGACGGTGATGATCGATGGATACGCGCGGACGGCCGCGATGGATCTCTTCCTGCACGGGATTCCGGAATGGAATGTCGTCTCTCGCTTCATGCTCTAGCAGGCAAGGTTTGTGGCCGACGCGCGAAGGATCTCCGATTTGGTGAATCTGGCAATTGCAAGCAATGCGGGCGTGGGACACAGCAGAATGGAATTCGATGCTCCAAAAGGGTGCGTTTTACATCGCAGGATCGAAGAGGCAGTGGCATTCTTCCGGAATTTCATGCCTGAGCACGACGAGGTCTCCTACACCATGATGATCGCTGCGTATGCACCAGACCGGGCAAATCCACAAAGCCAGGCATATCTCACCACAATGCCACAGCGAAGCTCGTTGTTTGGAATGCCATGATTCTTTGCTCGGAGAATGGAGCTTGCTCGGAGATGGGGCTCTTGGAGGAATCGAGGGAGCTGTTTGAGCAAATGGTGGTTTCGTATGCTCACAGGGGGAAATCTCGAGCAAGCCAAGGAGATCTTCGACGCAGTGCCCGAGCGTAATCTAGCCAGCTCCAACTCAATGCTACAAGCTTTCATCCTCGCCTCGAGAAAGGTAGAAGCACGAGAGATGTTTGAAGGGATGATCCAGCACGACGTTCTTGCTTGGAGCGTGTGGATACGCGTGGAAGTTCTTTCTGCGCATGCCGGAGCTCGATGTGGTAGCCTGGAACGCGATGCTCGTGGCCCTTGCCGCGCACGGAAAATCCAGAGACGAGATTGAGCTCTTTGGATTGATGCAAATCGACCGATGAAGGAAGCTTCAAGGGAGCACTAGCAGCTTGCTCGCATTTGGGCTTGCTCGACCAGGGATGGGCATACTTCCTCTCGATCAATGAGAGCTACTCGATTCTTCCGACGAGCAGGCACTTTTGCTTCAGGATAGACATGCTGGGAAAATCGGGACGAGCAGAAGACGGTCACGAACTTCTCGAGACGATGCCGTTTGTCCCGGATGCCGTCGCTTGGGGATGCTTGCTCTAGCACCTGAGATCAAGATCATCTCACCACCATCTAGCAGTTACCGCTGCTCGAGGTGTTCTTGGGCTCTCTTCATCAGCTGATCGCGACGTCTCGATAGATCTATAAGATCATCTCGTCAGGACTACAGCCACTGTTGCTCGTTGTGGATCTTCTTGGAACCGACAGGGAGCGAGAAACGCCATTCAAATGATGACGCAAGGCATCCTAGAGATGAGATCCTCGGCCTTGGCTGGCTGACCGCAGTAGTGCGCTCCCAGTGCTTCGACTTGATGATCGTCGACCATATTTCGAAAATAATTCCATCCCCGCTCGAACAGCCCGAGCTGGCCGCACCGAAACGCTCACAAATGCTGAATGGTGGAATCGAAGAGCGCTTTGGCGTTTGGAAGATAGCGGTGCCGTGCACAGGCCTGGAGGAGGGCATTGCACAGCACGGTATCATAGTGAGGAGTGGCGTCAAAGACGAGCTTTGCCTCTTTCATGCATGCGTTTTCGGCGAGAGATTGGAGCATCGAGGTGGACGAGGCGAGGTCTTTCTCGGGTATTCTCTCGTATAGAGCTCCGCCGCCGGCGCATCACATTCCACGACATTGTATCGCTCTCCGGCATTGCATTGTCGAACATATACTTGGCCTCCTCAAGCTGGCCAGCGGCAGTGTAGCCCTGGAGGATGACGTCTAGAACGACGAGGTTCTTCTTGCGCATTCTATCACTCTGATCGCAGCTCCCAAGATCTCCGGAAGCAAAGATCATCAAGAGATCATCAAATTGCGCTCGCTCATGCCAGAGTGGAAGAACGATACGGCAGATTGAGCTTAGATGGATCCATTCTGGCCATGTCCCAGCCGAGCATTCGTTGGAACAAGCGCTCAACGTCCTCTAGATTCCCCGCGTTGATCCAGCTGTCGATGAACGTGTTCCAGGAGGTGACGTTGCGTTCCGGAATAGCATCGAACAGCGCTTGTGCCTCGGCCATGTGGCGTATCCAGCGATGACACCACATTCCGTGCCGGCATCCTTTCGAAGATGGATTTCGTGTTTATGGCATCGCGACGCTTGGTGTAGACGTCAAGCATACAATTCATTCCTAATTCCTGGCGATGCCCTCTCTTTCCGTACGGGGATCATTGAATTCCAGGGAAAAGGCATCGAGTCAGAGATTAGCTTTGCTGTCAGAGAATTCCCACATTGGGCATATGCCGTAAAGGCCATGAAACTCCATTTTTGTCTGGCATTGCATCGAACACCTAATATCTCTCACTTCGCTACACCGCCGAATTTGAACATAAATCTCTTTTCCCCACGAATGATCCCTGGTTTTGCTGCAAAATCGAGCTCTTGCTCCTTCTGGTTGATGTTTCGCACATTTCACTATACAATTCAGCTGAAATGGCGGTTAACCCAAAAAACCTAGGTACACTTGGACAAAGGTGCAACGATCAAGACGCCGGTGCTAGAGATGAGCTGTGTTCTCGAAGTGAGATTTCCTTCTTCGTTTTTTGGTTTCCAGCTCCAGGAAGCGACGGCATTCGAGCACACCCATTTGGAGGGTGATTTTCAACATCAAGATCATGATTCCACTGAGTTGGAAACTCGTCACATAGGTCTCACTCTCCATGTTTTCTTCTCTTGGTTGCTTTATTCGTTTCTATAGATCCAAGAAAATTCGTCTGAGTCGAGAGGTTAGTCCGGGGTTCTTTTGAGCGACAATGCTAGCTATGCTGATCATCATTTGATAGACGAGGAGGTGCTTCTATTTCCAGCAGAAGCTTTAGGATCATCACTACTGTGGTTGGCCGTGAGCAACATAGAGAGCACCCACGCTCTCAAAGTTTTGGTTTTGGGAGCAATGGAAGCACTTGGCCTTTCTACAGGGGTGGCGACCGCAGGTGAGGTGTCACAGGAAATTGCTTACAGGTTTTTGACATGGGTATATACAGCCGAGTGATTATCCCAGCCAATCTTAGTGCAGGTGTTTGTTCCATGGATTGTTTATTGTATGAAAGCTTGCGATTCTTGATGATGCAGGCTTATTTGGTGGTGGCAAGTCGTATGCATTTTTAAAGAAGTACACATTCTCGGTCAAATTTTGGGCTGTCTTCGGTGTTGTTCTTGTTGTTTCAAGGTAGAGAGTATCGCTTTGCCTCTTGTGACACTGTAAATTCTTTTTATAGCCGGAAACTAGCCCCTGAGAATGGAGCTGGCTGGATGGCTGCGTACTCAGTCCTCCCACCACCAGAAGCTGCTGAGCAAGAAGAGCAAGCACTTCTTTGAAGCGAGCTTTGACAAGTTTAGCAATGATCGTGAGGACAGCTTCCTCTCGACCGAGCCCAGGATTCTCCACGACGGGCTCTAAGAGCACAAAGAGCAACAGGAGCGTAATACAAAACGGCCTTGTAAATGAGTTTCGAGTACCCTGGTTTGACCTTTTCCCAGTTCTTCGTCTCCTAGGATCATCTGAATCGTTGGGGCTTGTTCTTCTTTTTCCCCCTTGGTGATTGTCTTGTTCCATTCTTCTTGGGCTCTTCTTCTCTCCAAGTCGTGCGCCCGGGGCTGCTTCTTATCTCCATTTCTGCACGGCGCATACGGCGCGAGCGACACAACATTGCGGGCGCTACCTCCACTTCTCCTGCACGATATCATCGTGCGTTTCCTCTGGTCTCGCTCCAGCGCTCCCCTCTTCTTCTTGGGCTTAATCTTCCTCGATGCAGCAGCAGAAGCAGATCCCTCCCGGCTTCCTCACTCAAATATGCTCTTCTCTGGCCCAGATCTGCTCTCCTATCTCACTTCTCCCGCGCTCTTTCACTGTTCCTTGAGATCTGGCTGCTCTCCAGCTAAAACAGGGGACCGTACCAGTTGGTACGGTATGGCGTACGGAAGCCCGGCGGGTTTAGGGTTCTTCGCTTCCAATCTTAAGGTATGACAGTGCACCCGGTAAGATTTTTGAGCCTCTTTTGTTTGCTATAGGTCATTGTCGATTCAGCTGGGCGAGAGCGGGGAGCCAAAATTTCCTCAGAGAACGCTCTAGATGGATCAGAGGTGACCGAATTTTCCCTCCTTTTTCTTTTTCTAAACTCGTCCTCTCTTATTTCTCACTAGACGGTCGATTGTCCTTTTCGTTTTTCTAGCCTCTTCTTTCTCATTTCTCAGAGAAAGCTAATTTTTCTTTCGAATCTAGCGTAGCTTTTATTTCTCAGAGATAGACTGGGTGAGGGAGAATCTCTGTTCTTTTCCTGTTTCTAGCGTCTTCCTTTTCTTCTCAGAGGACGCTCGCCTAGACAGCTCGAGGCTCAGCCGCCAGCAGGCGTGACACCAAATCTCGGTTCCTTTCTTTCTTTTTTTCTAACCTCTTGCCTTTCAGAGAACGCTCGACTAGACGGTCGATTGAGCGCGAGTCGATTCAACTGGGCGAGAGGGAGGAGGCCGTCACACCACCACAGTAAGCCAAATTTCTGTCGTTCGAATCTAGCCTTGCTTTTTATTTCTCAGAATCTGCGCAAAGAGACGGTCGATCCAGATTCAGCCGGGTGAGAGACGGATCACAAGGAGTCAGCCGGGAGCCATGCTACTTCGTAAGTTTGATTTTGATGATTCCCTTTACTTTTTCTCTCTCTCTTTTACTCTATTATGTAGCTGGGCTAGTGGAAGTTAAAACCACTTATCCTTACACGGCAGTGAAGCGGATGGACAGAGAGTATGGGAAATATCCGGTGGAACGCTTTTGGTACGAGCGTTCCGTAAGCCAAGCTCCCAAATTTTTGTGATTGTTTGACTCTCTTTATCTTGTAGGGTGCTCGTCTTTACTTTCCTCGACACGAAGACATACCCGTGGAATTGAAGTTCCCAGATTACCTCTCCGACGAACAACGGGCTGCTGCACACAAGAAACACGAGGAGAAAATGAAGAACCGGAAGTATCTTTTAATGCCGGATGAGGAGCGACCATCGATGTGGAAACCTCCAGATTATAAGAGACCGAGTTACTTTTACTGTTGCCTTGGGAAGTAAGCTTTCTTCTTCTTCTTCTTCTTCTTGGCTGCTGAATTTTATTTTACTTTTTTGTAGGGAGGAGACACCAGAGGCGATTCCAGAGGCAATCAACTACGATCTCATCTGGGCCTGTCTTGATCCAGAAGAGTTTGATGGACCAAGTAAAGATTTTAATTTTAATTTTGTGTGTGTTTGCTTTGCGTGTTGATTATTTTTTCTTGGTGCAGGCGTTAAGGCGTAAAAAATCAAAAAACAAACCCATAATAGATTCAGGTTTAAATATCATTAAAAATATGCTTTTATGGTTAAATTATTATTATTATACGGTAACATATTAGCATGGGATTTAAATGCTTACAAAACTGTAAATTATGTCGTAAACCGGAGCAAGTTATCTAAATATTACAGTGCACGGTGCTAGAGGTCGTATGGAAAAGCCAGGCCGTGTTTTTAGTGAAAGGCAGGGCAAGGAAGGAGAGAAACGTCCTTGTAATTTACAGCCCGAGGACGAGCAGCAGCGATGTTGAGCTTCACCACCTCCGGCTCTTAAACATTACCTGGTTCATGGCGACCCTGGTGGGACGGACAGACTAATAACACCTTGTGCAGATATACAACCTGTCGGTAAATCCCAGCTTTCAACTTATTGAGCAAGCCTGCACCTGCGCTCTAGGCCAATAACTTTGCGAGGACGAATTTCGATAAGCAAACCAAATGTGTTTGTAGCTCTCACTGCTGGGAAACTCGGGACGAGCAGAAGAAGCTCACGAACTTCTCGAGACAATACCGTTTGTCCCGGATGCCGTTGCTTGGGGATGCTTGCTCCAGCACCTGCGATCAAGATCTCACCACCATCTAGCAGTTAACGCTGCTCGAGGTGTTCTTGGGCTCTCTTCATCACTTGGTCCAGTCTAGAGCACGACTACGTAGGTGCTGGAAAGGAGAGCATGCGGTGACGAGATGGTGCTGTCGAGCAGCGACTGTTGCTCGTTGTGGATCTTCTTGGAGCCGACAGGGAGCGAGAAACGCCATCCAAGTGATTCCATCAGGGACGTAAGGCATGCTGGAGATGAGATCCTCGGCCTTGGCTAGTAGTGTGCTCCCCATTGATGATCGTCGACCATGTTTCGAAAATAATTCCATCCCTGCTTGAACAACCCAAGCACCGAGAACTCACAAACGCTGAATGGTCGGGATCAAACATCATCGTCGTGAAGACATCAATGGTGTCTCGTCCGTGGTCTGCTACAAGGCCCCGGGCATGACATGGTGGTCCAGGACGTCTCTCTCTGCCATGGAATCGAAGAGCGCTTGGCGTTTGGAAGATAGCCGTGCTGTGCAAAGGCCTGGAGGAGGGCATTGCACAGCACGATATCACAGTGAGGAGTGGCATCAAAGACGAGCTTTGCCTCTTGCATGCATGCGTTTATGGCAAGAAATTGGAGCATCGAGGTGGACGAGACGAGGTCTTTCTCAGGTATTCTCTCGTACAGAGCTTTGCCTACTTCATATGCCCCCGCTGGGCATACCCCTGGAATATCACATTCCATGGCATTGTATCGCGCTCTGGCATTGCATTGTCGAACATATAGTTGGCCTCCTCGAGCTGCCCAGTGGCAGTGTAGCCCTGGAGGATCACGACCAGAGTGATGAGGTTCCTCTCGCACATTCTATCCAGCACTCTGATTGCAGCTCCAAGATCTCCGGAAGCAACGTAGGCTGAGATCATCAAGAGATCATCAAATTGTGCTCGCTCATGCCAGAGTGGAAGAACAATACGGCAGATTGGATCATTGTTGCCATTGTGGCCATGTCCTAGCCAGGCATTCGTTGGACAAGTGCTCGGTGTCCTCTAGATTCCCTTTGTTGTTCCAGCTGTCAATGAACACGTTCCATGAGATGACATTGCTTTCTGGAATAGCATCGAACAACGCTCATGCCTTGCCCATGTGGCGTATCCAGCGATCATGGCCGTCCATGACACCTAAATTCCATTCTAGCTTCCTTTTGGAGATGGATTTCATGTAGCTGCTGATCTGCACGTGGCCGACTGATGATAATTGTCCAAGAGATGTCATTGCACTCAGGGCATGAGTGGAGTGCCTTGGTTGGGGATCCCCAACTCCCCAAGCCATATGTAACAAACTTGAAATAAACTGCTACTATATACACTTGTTTATATAGATTTGTCTTTGAATTCTTGAAACTTACTTATCATGCAAGCTTACTAAATTGTGAGTGGCTAACCTTTCTATATTTTGCATTGACTAAAACAATACCCTATTGTCTAGCAGCTACAATAAGAATTGATAATCTTGTAGCATACATAGTTTTCACTTTTTATTCTATTAGGATAACCATGAAATGGAACTTAAACTTTCTATATAGCATGTGTCTAAGGAGTAGAACCTAAGTTTCAAGGCTTTGGATCACCAAATGAAGGAATGGAGTGAGAGTGAGAGCTAGACTATACTTTATTGGCCATATCTAATTAGTACCAAGAGTTAATCTCTAGGATAAGCTTGAAATTTACTAAATATAGAATGGTGCTAGATTATGAATCTGGAAATATAAAGAGCATTGGGCATAATGTTTGGCAGATATGGTAATTTATCACTTAATGAGCATTAAGGGGCCAAACTCAATATCGTGGGGACTTTTGTTAAGCTAATGCAAAATAAAGCAAAAGAGAATTAACAAACTGGGCTAAATGTTTGGCTAAATAGACACTTAAGAATTCTTTTTTTATGCTCATCCGGCTAAGTATAGATGCTAAATTAAGTTTATTAACACTTGAATAAAAGGGATTGATAAAGGGTTTAACAATATTGACTTCCTACCATTGTAGCAGTAAGGAAAGAATATCTTAAATAACTTGTTAACATGTAACTTTCAATATTTGCAATTAAAGTTGTGACACTCTCCCCCCCTTAAAGAAGATTGATGTCTTCGTCAATACACACTTGAGTTTAGAATACCACCAAAAAAACAACTCCAAAAAAAAGTTTATAGTATTCATGCTTTGTAAGAAATGCACCAACTTAAATGAGTTAAGGGGCAACTCTCTATTTAACATAAATGCAGTACAATTTAAACACTTTCTAATTATCACTAACAAAGAATTGACTAATAGAGTTAGCCACCCTTATTGCTCTGAGTGTCACTCAACTTACAAAAGATGATATACCCCTACTTATATATGACATAGAGAGAGAAGCTAGAGGCCTTAACCCTTATGAGCAAATAAACCAAATAGATAAACTACTCTAAATAGGCAATTAGAGTTATTTACACCCCTTTTTAAGAAATAAAGAACATTGAGAAAGAGGTAAGGTGATGTGACCAGTCTATAATATGATAAAAGATTTCACTATGCGCACGAAGTGTCGAAACTAGTTTACTTATACTAGCCCAAATCCAAAGATTAATAAATGGACAATATCAAAGTCAGAGATAATGATATCTAAAAGACTAAATTATTAATGAATAAAGCTTAAATTAGAATACAAAAAGTATTCTAAGTAATTTATCATTTGATAAACCAGAATTACAAGATTAACCAACCAATAAAATTTAATAACACATAGATCATTAAGGAAATGATAAATCTTAACTACAACAGTATGCCAAACAAAATATACAAGAGAACTAAAAAAACACAAAGTATCATTAATAAATAAACAAAATGATTATGAATGTATCATCTAAAGGAAATAACATTTTAATCTATCAAAACCAACTCTAATAATAATCAACAAAACAGAATAAATGTTGCAAAGTAAACAAACACTCATTCATTTGAATAAATCTTAGTTAACCATATTAAGGAATTCAAATTTCTTCATCAAGCATCATCAACATTTTACTGATGTCTCAAACCTAAGAGACCAATCTAGAGCAAACCACAAAAAACATGTAAAAATATGGAAAGCCAAAAGCTTTCAATGAGAATAATTAATGATCATAAAAGATCATCAATCATCCCATTAATAGAGAAATGTATAATCATTATTGAATAAATAATTTACTATCATAAAGAATGGTAAATCATTTAACACAATAATTTTGCAAAACCTTTGACAAAGATAATTAATTATTGTAGATGATAGTCAATCATCATTAATGATTGCTAGATGTAAATACTTATTCAACATCGAAACTGATGGAGCTAAAATGCCTTCTCCAACAACTTATAACAAATAGAACAATAAACATAAAAAATCAAAGAACTAAAAGTTTAAAGAAGTTTATAACCAAGTCTTGCTTAACAATAATCACAAGCTTTCCATGAACTAACTTCAATGTTAAAGAAAAAATTATGATACAACTCACAATATTCTTTTTCGCACATTCAAAAGTTAAACTTCATAATGCAAAAACTAATGAAGAGTATATTTGCATCATTCCAAAAGCCAAGCAGAATGAAATTATACTTCATAAATAATCTCCAAACAATCCTCCATAAATCCATCTTTTATAATAAAACATAATTGACTTTATAACAAGTATAAGAAAAAATCATCAATGATTGATATATCTCAACTTAAATTCAATAAAGATTCAATCATTTCAATATCGAAATTAACTCTTCCTCTTGTAAAGCTAATAGAATGCATGACTAAATCACTTTTCAAGGAAAAGCCAAAACACAATCTCTACTAAACAATCTCGTTTAGAATACCACTAACTTTGTTACTGTCGTGAATGTGACTTCAGGTATCGAAAGTTACCTGCCAGCCAGTCCTTACGGACACTCTTTCCTTACTGCCAGCCAGTCCTTACGGACACTCTTTCCTTAATGGCAGGAGGTCGATATTGCTAGTTCCCTTTATTAGCCTCTTTTGTTCAAGTGTAACAAGAAAAATGACATGGAAAATCAAGCTCAAGGAAAATTCCTCATCACTCGAAATAACAATATCATCTCCACTAGCACAAGTGCTAGCAATGTCAATGCCTCAACTACACACCTTCTCCATCCGACGATCTACTCCAAGTGCTAACGGATCATTTGACAAGTTATAGCAAATGAATGATATAACCCTTTTCCAACACTTTATGGGCAAACCCTCAAGGAAACAATGTACCAACTTAAGCTTAGCATAATGGATCACTATTGAGAATCTAGTTGAAGCTACTCCAATGTTACTATATGTAAGTAGACTAGCATCACCATCAACCACTTTGGGGTTTATCATCGTTTAACCAAGCAACTTCGTAAACACATTGCTCATTATCACATGGATATGATATAGAAATCACAATGACTTGATCATCAATTGAGCAACACCACAAACAATGCCAATGTCATTACTTCAAAGGTTTATGTGAGTATCAAGT